TCCCCTCTGCACCCACCACTGTCTGTCCTGCCACTGCCCATGCCCCGGCACGGGAAGGGTTAACGCTGGGGTGTGTGGGGGGTGCCTGAGCCCCCCGCACCAATAAAGCCCCCATTATCCCATTATCCGGCCAGGGACCGGCAGCGGGGGGGTCCCCGTCCCCCTGGCACACAAAGACCCACTGTCCCCGCCGTTGTCCGGGGTCCCCCTGCCTGGCAGCCCCGGGGACCAGCCCCCCACCACCAACTGCTCAGGGAAACTGAGGCACAGAGAGGGGAGGGCGTACTGGGCATCCCTGGCATGGGGGGTGTGCGGAGGGTCCTTCATGCTGCATGTGCCAAGGGTCTCTGATGGGGGTGTGCAAGGGGGTCCCTGAGTCAGGGCTCCTGGGGGGGCCCCGATGGGGGGGTGTGGGAAGGTCAGTGGTACAGGGTGCTCCAGGGGTCACTGATTTGGGGTGCCCTGGGGTTACCCTGCCATGGAACACCCCAGAGGTCCCTGACTTGGGGTGCTCTGGGGGTCCCTGACACGGGAATTTCTGTCATGGGGTGCTCTGGAAGTCTCTGTCATGGGAATTCCTGTCATGGAGCACCCCACGAGTCCCAGCTGTGGGGGGCCCTGCCCCGGGGTGCCCTGGGGTGCCCTGACTCGGGGGTCCCCACAGGGTACATCCCTAGTTACCTGGACAAAGATGAACAGTGTGTGGTGTGCGGGGACAAGGCCACCGGTTACCACTACCGCTGCATCACTTGTGAGGGCTGCAAGGTGAGTTGGGGCAGGGGGGCTTGTGGGGCTCCGGGGGGCTCAGCAGGGCTCACTGTGTCACCCCCCGTGCCCTCCCCAGGGGTTTTTCCGTCGGACCATCCAGAAGAACCTGCACCCCACCTACTCCTGCAAATACGATGGGTGCTGCGTCATCGACAAGATCACCCGCAACCAGTGCCAGCTCTGCCGCTTCAAGAAATGCATCTCCGTGGGCATGGCCATGGACCGTGAGTTGGGGGGCTCAGGGGGGCTCGGCTGGTGGGGCAGGTTGGGGTCCCAGCACCGTGGGGAACATTGGGGTACCCAGATCAGCTGCAGGATCAGGCTGGGATGTCAGGTGCTGTGCTGAAGTACACGGTGGGGTGAGATGCATGAACTGGGGGGTCCTAGCTGAGTGGGGGGGTCCCAGATGACAGTGGGGGGTTTTTGGGA